GCGTTATATAAGTAACTGGAAAATAATCTGCGAGAAGCATGAATAAATGTTAAAAAAAATGTTTTTAACATGTCAATTACTTTCAATGATTTGAAAAAGCTGCAAAAATGCAGCACAATTAAATATAAATGTATATAAATGATGCTTAAGTGCCCACGCCTATGTAAAGGAAAGAGGCCTGCTAGTGGTACCTGATGCTTAATTGAGACTGGAACTGGAATAATATTTGCAAAAGCTGTTTATAGTCCACTGTCAAAGAATCTTGAGAATTGCAGTTTTGAAGAAAGTGTGTGCAAGCATTTGTCAATCACAATTCTTTTTCTCTTTCGTTGATCTACATCTACATCTCCCATGGAAATGTTAAACCAGCTTCAATCTGTAATGTAAACACACCCAAAGTATCCGAGGGCGTATTTTTAAATGCATACTTGGCACAATATTTTAGCTGTTTCTTTACTGTTCTTCTGCTTGAAGACGCTTTAGGACATACAAGATAACTTGATAGCAGAAAATGTATTGGTCCTGTAAAAGGAATGAATTATTGCATATTCTCACAGAAGACACATTTTGGCTGTGACAGAGAAAATTCTGCTTGACGGATTCCCACCCTTCCTTTACACAACATTTTTTCGCCCTCAGCAAAAGATGGATTGCATCTTTTGGATGTATTTCATGGGAGGCTGCAAAATGTATGGGTAGCCAATATATAAAATCTCTTGGCTGCAATAGCGCAAGGCATTTCTCACTTCAAGTTTCCAATCTCACAAAGCTGTACACTCCCAGGAACGTTGTAAAAAAAACATCACAGGGAAGGAAGTATAAGAAAATTGCAGAGCTGAAAGTTCCTTTCCACCACTTAGTTTTTATCTTTCATTTCAGAATTTCCATGCATTTCCTTCTGCAAGAAGCTGAATATAAGTATTTGTTTGTTTGTTTATTTGTTTGTTTAGAAACTGCCCATTTTCCTTATCGAGCGACTCTGGGTAGTTTCTAAATATAATGTATAAATAATTATTTTGAAATGATTCAGAATATTTGAAAAAAAAGTGCTTTGTAAAGCGGGTTAAAGCAGCTACATCTTCTGTAATGCAGACATGGCTGCTTTGAAAAGCTGAAGCAGAATCAACTATGTTTTGTACAGCTCTATTTTCCAATTGTTCCTCTTGCTCCACTATTACTTGTTTTACAACATAATATGAAGATATATTTTCTGACCTCCTGTTTTTAAAAAGTCAGCATTTTATGGATCTCTGAACTGCAGTTTGGTTTTATGTTGGCTTATCTTCTAACAGCCCTCATTATGTAAGCTTTTGGTCCATGATTTGTTTTATTCTTATTTTCCATGATTATAAAATCTATAAAACTATCCAGAGAGTCTCAGCTACTAAGAAATACAGAAATCCAATAAAATAAAAGCACTTTCCATTTTCTCTTTTGCTTTCATTTCCCAGGAGTCTTGTTGGGGCACGTTAAAAAACTAGAAAAATTACGTTAAAGAAAAACCTGGGAAGCAGGACTACGTGTTCCAATTCAGGATAAACATACCTCCGTTTGTACCATGCCATGCCTTTGCAAACGCATCAGCCGCACCACTTCGGAGATATCAAACTGTGAAGAAAAAAAAAGACACCCAATCTAAATTGCACATTGTGAAATTCTTATGGAATTTGTCCCTCCCAAAGTTTAGAATTGATGCTCAGCACCAAATGTGACTTCACAAAGAGGAGAGGAGACAGGGCAGGTGGATCTTAATTCTTTTCCACATATTTTTCCCCCTTTTCTCCCAGAATCTTTCCCCTCAGCCTTTTCTTCTAATGAGCTTGCAAGAAAATGCTGATAAATGATGACTGTTGAGATGTATTGGCAGGAGGACAGGAAAAACATCTTCCTGAAAGGTCTCTGTGGTGAATGTCCAACACACCCTCTGTTTGCTTTGTTGTTTGCATCTGAACAGATGCGAGACATCCTGGTTGCAATAACTTTGTCTGCATTTGGTACCACCTTCTGACGGTTCATGATCAAGCTATGAATATTCATATCTTTTAAAATCTGCATTCTGATTTTCCTATTACTCCAATGTTGGGACAAGGAATCTGACTCAGAAGAAAAGGAGCTTATATTAATAAAATCAGAAATTTCTGAAAAAACTCTCATGGATTATTGTGTACGGAGATTCCTCAGTCATCCAGGTCATGATTGTCTCCCAAAGGTGTTTTTTTTCAAAAGGCAACTAGACTATGCTTTTCCTTGAAGAGGTTTCATTTCTCATTCAAGAAGCTTCTTCCATTCTGAAGAAGCTTCTTGGATGAGAAGCGAAACATCTTCAAGGAAAAACAAAGTCTAATTGCCTTTTGAAAAAGCACCTTTGGGACTGTCTTGGAGAATATATTGAAACTGTACCATGCGGCCAATGGTGATATTAAAAACCGAATACAGTGAAATGAGCCAGATCTATATTATTATTATTATTATTATTATTATTATTA